TCTCTGTGTCCCTAGGTCTCCCCGTGTCATCAGGTCTCCCCCTCTTCCAAGTGTCCTAGTGACACATACATGGGGACATAGACACATGGGAATACTGGAGGACACTAGGAGACATGGGGCACTGAGACACTGATACATAGGAACGCTGAGACCTGGAGTAATGGACACATGGGGGCACTGGGAGACATGGGGGCACTGGGAGGAATCCATCTATACAGCATAATCAAACTAAGTAGTTTTTTGGTGATTTTACAGCATTTTCTCTTATGTCACTCCTTGTGATTTACATCATGTGATGTCACCCATACATATTTAATTATGCAAATTAGTAAGGCCAGTATGTTTTTCCAAGAAAGGTGGCAACCCTAACTACTTTTCACATACTCTTACTTAAGTATGGAAACTTAAGAGGGATGTATGGGAACAAAACTTGTGTGGACTGGCTGACAATGAATATAGTTAAAGGGACACTATAGTCACAAGTACAACTACAGCTTATTGAATTTGTTCTGGTTAGTAGAATCATTACCTTCAGGCTTTTTGCTGTAAACACTGTCTTTTCAGAGAAAATACAGTCTTTACATTACAGCCTAGTAATAACTTCACTGGCCACTCCTGTTAGAGATCCTTCCTGGGTCATGACTGCCTAAAATGCATCCAAACATTCCATGTCTCCTCCCTCTGCATGCAGACACTGAACTTTCCTCATAGAGATTAATTTATTCAATTCATCTCTATGAGGAGATGCTGACTGGCCAGGGCTGTGTTTGAATCATGCTGGCTCTGCCCCTGATCTGCCGCTTTGTCAGTCTCAGCCAATCCTATGGGGAAGCACTGTGATTGGATCAGGCCACCACTTCTAATGATGTCAGCAGACTGCTTTTTTTTTTTAAGTCTAACAGCATGCAGAGTTACAGCTTCAGGCTTGAATACAGTAAGATTTTTACTATATTTATGGAGGCATGAGGGGCTAGATGGTGGTGTTAACACTATAGGGTCAGGAATTCATGTTTGTGTTCCTGACCCTATAGTGATCCTTTAAGGTAATGCTGACTTTGGTCTCTCTAACACTGTGGCATGTTCCCTTTCTTCTATACTCACTACATACAGCTTTTCTCTGTCCCAGACTATATACCAGGAGTGTCTACCTGCTAGTAAGAAGGTAAGGAGACAAGTGGACCGGCGAGTGCTAGGGGACAGTCCTTAGAAAGCGTTGAGCGAGCGCATCATTAGATGCATTTATGCTAAGCTCAGGGTGCTGTCTGCATAGTATGCCCTTAGTTGGCCAGCTGCATGATTGGCAGACAGTCTGACATGCATTCATGCCAGACTGGTCTTTTAATTCTTTGGGCAGACATGTCCTCTTTTTGGGCATGTTCGCCCCTTTTAGCAGGTTATGTGATTTGTGTCAGTGGCATACCCTTTTACCGTGCCCATTGACTTCCTGCTTGTCTGGACACTGCTGTTTGGGCTTATGGGTTTACTTGAAAGATGAAAACATAAATTACAGGGAGTTTAGCATAGGGTATGTGTTTTCTTATAGCTGCTGTTTTCTTTCTCTCCAGCACCATCTCCATCAGATACATGACGCTTGGGAGTGTTTTTGGTCGATATGATTCTTTAATTAGGCCCGTCATAATTGTCAGTACCAGGCCCACTGGGCTGTTAATCTGGCCCTGGCTGTAGTACATCTTTTATTATTCTTAGTATTAGCAGAATTAGGTTCTTTCTAATTTAAATAATAGTAATCTAAATTCTAGTTAACCCATTTTTTTAAAACACTTTAACATTTTCTAATAATAATAATAAATTTTGTCCTACTCTGTTTGCAGTAATCATGCAGGGAGCACTTGTTGGCAGACTGCTCACGGCAGACAGTGCAGTTTTGCCTAGTTTAGCAGAAAACACTGAAGTGAAGAAATCTGCCTCAGTACTAGTCTCTATTTCATTTTTTATTTTTTTACGTTGTTGATCAATATATCAACATAGTTCAAAACTTTCAATTAATAAAAATATAAACTTTAGTTTCAAAACACTACATTACATTATCTCCTTATTTTCTTCAACTTCTTTTAATTTCTTTTCTTACTATTTTAAAATTCTAAATGGTCCCATACGTTCATCCACTAGTAAAGTGAGGGAGGGTCAGTCAGCCACCACCACCACCACCACAAGTAGTGGTAGTTTGAGTACGCAGCCTATGCATCAGCTTAAGCGGTCAAGTAGTGCCGCTAAGTCAGACTCACCGCCTAGGAGGCCAAAGTCTTTGTCTCGCATTTCTCACATTCACATTTTTCCCCTTCCTCTCCACTTTCTCCACTTTACTTCAACCATTAGTATACCACCACCACAATCAATTACCACTACTATTCCCAGGTCCACTGTTCCTCCTCGCAGTGGTACAGTTACCACCACCACCAGTATAACTGTGCCAACACTCACCACCACCACTGGTACTACTAGCCACAGTATCAGTGCAGAGGCAGTACGAAGCAGTACGAAGTGGCCGGCTGGCATTCGAGCACGTGGTACCATCTTAAGCCGCAAGCACAATGAGCGGTGTTTGGTCTTCGAGTATATGGAACTCAAATCGGACACTCGACGGTGTGAACACCGCCAACCACGTACCTTACACTGATGTTCAGCTATTCGAATGGGAATCGAATGGCGTTCGGTAAGAATAAACTCCTGAACGAGAGACATAAACTGAGCCTACTCCCAAAGCTATACCTTCGGTAATTTATATGTTACTTCGAATTACCCTTCGAAGTAGACCGAACACACAGTCTGATTTCCTGGAACTCTTTTCGGACAGTAATTTTGTGTGTGGTCGGTTAAAATAAGACCGCCATCGTAACATCTCCATGTCTAAGAAATTAATTTAGCAGACCTCAATGTATAGTTGTAATGTATGTTGTTCCTCTGTCTTTGCATGGAAACCTGCAACTACTGATTGCCTAGATATGTTGCAATACCTTAAGAATAATATGGTTTACCTAGTGTAATACACAGGAAAGAGGAAGTCTGGCTAACACTAGGTTGCTCAAACTGGAAGTAGATAGGGATTCACTAAAACCTATAAATAAAAGCAGCAGAGAGAACACTCTGGAATAGTGTGCAAATACCAGGGGCTGACCTGTGATTATGGCTAAAATATGATGGTAATAGAAAGTGCAATATAAATATAAAATATAAGATGTACTGTGCCTTTAAGAAATGAAAAAATGGAAATAGAAAAGAATAAAAATGTAAGCAAATACAAATATAATATTATGAATAAAAAGGAAGGAATAAAAGGATAAAAATAATGCTAATAAAAAAGGATAAAATTGTAACAGATAAAAATAGGATTAGGAGTAATGAATGATATTATGCAGCAAGTAATATTGCAGTGCAAATATCTCTATCCCTGATCCAAAGTAGGGTAGTTAATACTTGCACCAAATGCTATAGTTTGTATAATACAAAGATACAACCAGGATAAAAAAAGTATATGTAATGTAGCAATACAGTATAGAAGACTGTTTGCTATAGTAATACAAACAGTGTATCACCAAAATGGAAAGCAATGTTACGAACTGGATGTAAATTACAAAAAACAGTTTATTAATTAAAAAATTAAAAATATAGATCAGGAATAGTTCATACAGTTGTTACCAGTCTTATGAGGGTCAGAAATATGCAAGGACCTTCGAATCTGGCTGGGATTGATGTGGATTGCCTTGACAGACTTGCGCTTGAAATCCAGCCACCGGTAAGGACGGCGTGATTCTGTGTGTGCATCCCGACAAGGATCTCCCTCCGGGGAACGTGCACTGCAGACAGCTCGGCTCTACGAGTGCGTCAATGGTCCTGTGTAGATACAGACCTCTGCTGGTGTATGCTCTGTATGCTGAATCGGAGTCCTAATGATTCAGTATGCCTTACGCGTTTCGTAGGAGGATGCCCTACTTCTTCAGGGACGGGATGTGGACCATTGCTTCCATGCTTCTTATTTATGCATGCTTTTAATTGTTAACTATTTGAGGTTTTAGAGAAAGACTATGGCTTTAAGTAGAAATATTGATTCTATCAGATCAGACAGAAAATCCTATATTTATAAAATACCCCTTCCTGTCTCATTGGAGACTCATGGCTGATATCGGCATATCTAATGGCTAGTGTAGGAACTCACCTATTGAGGCTTGCCTTGACGTGGCAGGTGAGCTTACATATTCATATGGCCATAAGAATAAAACCAAAGAGCCTCCATTTCTGTTTAAACGCACATGGGGATTTAGGCCAGAGCGCAGGTAACGTTTTCTTTGTTTTTACTACGTTAGATAACTAATCTATCAACTAGGGAAAAGAATGGCGAAAGAAGTACATGTGTGGTGGGACATAGCAGCATTGGACTTTTATGTGAACAACAACATAGTACCAAGGGGCTTAAGACTATATAAGAGATCAGCATATAAATGCCATGATTTGGCCCTTCTTAAAAAATGGGATCAACTACTAGACAAAGGGTCATTATTACTAATGGTATTTCTCATTAACGAGAAGAAAGACCTGACAAAATTAGATCAAGAGATCACCGAATTGAAAAATTCCATCCGACCACTAGTGGACAGTGGGGATTATGCAGAACTATTGGAGAAAATGGAGAAAAGAGTAAAAACCATAGAGGAGAACATTAGAGAAATCAAAAGAAAAACGTTTTTAAGAGATCAGACCGATTATAAGACTCAGACACTAAGAAATTGGAAGAAAGATCTGAGACAACAACAATATTCTCCCACCAAATACAGAGCAGAACGTAGACCTCAACATCATCAATCTACAGAGATGCCCTGGTCTCCCACAAAACCCCAATGAAGGATACTCCAAAAGACTGGACAAATAATAAACAAATATGTAATAGAAGACAAGATGCCCCATATGATAAATACCATCAAAGGAACAACTATGGGCATCCAAAATATCGACATCAGGAGAGGTACCACCAGGATCGAGAACGGATGATACACCCACAACCTACTGGAACCGGACGATCACCAGACCGTAGAAATCACCAGTCTTCAATTGTTAGAGTTCTGTCTTCAGAAAACAGAATGACTGACCCCTCACATGATAGTACTGTGCACACATCAAATACCAACATTGGAAATGCTTTTTTAGAACCACGGGGGAGGATTCCCCCCAAGAGATTCTCAGGAGAAGACTTCCGATCCCCAGATGTGAGAAGGAAAAGAACTATAAAAGATCGAGAAGAAGAAACAGAATCCCACGAGGAACAAACCCAATTGAAGAGGAAGAAGTAAGCATTTTCAATCTATCTAAAAGAACTCTTAGTTCAGATGAAACATCGCTCTTAAGAAAAGGTCTAAAATTCGCTCCTACATCTAAAAGTTCCAACTTTGATGTGTGCATAGATCTACATAAGTTCATACAAAAGATCTCTATTAAGAAATTCTTTCTAGATAAAGATGTAACACAACAGGAGACAGAACAAGAATATATTCACACCAGATTACACCCCACCTTAACATTCTACCCGCAGTATGTTAAGAATGATTCCATCAAAGTATTTGAAAAGATGGTTGAGAAGGATTTTAGAAATGAGATTACTAACAAGATTACCAAGGATAACCTGACCAAAAAAGAGAGGAATGCATTAAAACAGCTCATGAAACTTGAAGACATCACAATTAAAGCAGCGGACAAAGGAGGTGGTCTAGTCATCCTGAACACTGAGGACTATGTTGAAGAGAATAGAAGATTACTAGGAGACACCAATACTTACCTCAAACTTGACTATGATCCTACTCTACAATATCAAGAAGAACTTAAAGAAATACTCGATTATGGGAAAGATAAGGGTATTCTGAATGAAAGAGAATTCAAGTACTTACACACTCAATTCCCAAGGATACCAGTGTTTTACCATCTCCCTAAAATCCATAAGCGATTGGAGAAACCCCCTGGAAGACCAATTATATCTGAAATTGGATCCCTCACCGCTAACCTTTCAGAATATGTTGATCATTATTTACAACATTTAGTTTTATGCCTCAAATCTTATCTGAAAGACTCCACCCAATTTTTAAATCTTTTATCCGAATTTAAGTGGGGCAACGATATGTTTTTAGTCACTGCTGACGTCACTTCACTATACACAGTGATCGAACATCTGCAGGGATGTGAAGCTATACAATTTTCTTTAGCCACATACTCAGAGTTTAAAAATGATCAAATTTACTTTTTAATCCAGTACATCGTTTTTATTCTTACTCATAATTATTTTTCGTGTGATGATCTATTTTTTCTCCAGATAGAAGGCACAGCCATGGGGACACGATTTGCGCCAAGTTACGCTAACTTATTTATGGGTAAGTGGGAGGAAGAATTTATATAGACCCGCTGCCCATTTGGCGCAAATCTGTCCCTATGGCGTAGATATATTGACGACTGCTTCTTCATATGGAAAGGAAATCTAGAATCTTTAGAGGAATTCAAGATCTACCTCAACAATAATCCTTATCACTTGAAATTTACTTTTAATCACACCAAAGAACAGATTGAGTTTTTAGATCTTAACATTTACATTGAGGAAGAAAGAATCCATACGAAAACTTTTAAAAAGAATGTTGATTGTAACAGTTTTATTCCTTTTAATAGTCATCATAATATTCCTCGGAACCAATTTAGGAGAGTCAGACGTAACTACTCTAAAGATGACGTCTGCAGGAACCAAATGGAAGAAATGAAAAAAAGATTTGTAGATAAAGGATATCCTGCAACACTACTAGGAGAAGCTATGGAGAAAGCATTATCTATTCAAAGAGAAGACACTCTACATGAAAGAAATAGAACTATAGAATCACATACTTCGGCACCCACTTTTATTATGAAATATAACCATCAAGCGCTGAAAATACAGAAGATTTTGAAAAAAACACTGGGGAATCCTCAAGAGTGACCCAACCCTTTCTAAATTCCTTGATCACCAACCACAGATCATATTCACAAGAGCCCCTAATCTCCAACTTATGCTGGCACCTACCATCAAATTCTTCAATACTACCAGAGGTTAAGACTCCACTCATGGGTTTACAAGATGTAAGAAATGTTTAGCATGTAAGAATAATCCCTCAATGAAAGAAGTAACTACAAGATTCCCATCATTAACTAACCAAGAAGAATATGACCTTAAAAGTAAGAGGAATTGTGATACCGCAGGAGCCATTTACCTTATTACCTGTCCGTGCCCAAAGCAATATATTGGACGTACGAAGAGACCACTGAAAGTACGCATTGCGGAGCACATTAGGAATGTTAGAAAGGGACTTCTAACACACAACCTTTCAAAACACTTTAAGGAAATGCATGGAGGAGATCTTATGGGTCTTGAATTTCTAGCTATAGAAAAAGTTAATGTACATTGGAAAGGAGGTAGCATTGACAAAATACTAGACCAAACAGAAGCAAAGTGGATCTTCGAATAAGACACCTTAGTCCCTAAAGGACTAAATATAGATTTTAAGTTACATGCATTCCTTTAACCCATTATTATCCACTCAGATGCACTTTATGTCCAGATCTACTTTCCGACATCCCCATTTTCTCTCTTTTTTAATCAATCAATCTTTATCCCTTATTTATCACAATTACTTTTTAGATATATCCTATTTACCTATATATCTATTGCCGTACAACACATATTTATTGCACTATGCACTTATCACTTCTATCACTATCAATGTTCTATTATTAAGTTATATGACTCATAGAATCTATCCTTCACAACTCTCACTCCTAGATTTTTTTTCTCACTCATATATGTGTTTTATTCCAGAAAGAACTATCAATATGATGAAGAGATTATTATATCTATTATATATTTGATCATATATATGGGGTCCTCTATGCAAACTCTTATGTACCTTTATGTGAATTCCAAATACCACAGAAATACTCTGAATATATGATTCTCTATACTTATATAATATATAGCATTAGAAACATGTTCCTTATAATGATGGAGAAATTGGTATCATTATATTCCTTATATTTATAAGGATTTTAATCATCAGGTTGTATTAAGGTATTTAATACATTTATTTTATTGATTTCTTAATCACTTTATTTCATTTTTTGACTATTACCCATTATTATATATCTTTTTGTATTTTTATCCTTTTTATAATTTAAGAGATTACATAGATACTATCAGCAATATTGTTCTAATTATGTCACTACTATTGCTATTGAGCTGTACAATCATGTTATATTATACCACCTAATTGTCTATTATTATATCATGAAGCACATAATGTATTTCAAATATTTTTATTACTTTAATTGACAATCAGGTTTATATGAATGTATAATTATTTTATAATTCTTATTTCCACATCTGGTATATACATTATACATTGAAATTAATGTTTGTTGTATACAGATACATATGTTTATTTAAGTCTTTTTTATGTAATTAGAATGTAATATACAATTATAGTTTTTATTAACAATTAAAAGCATGCATATATAAGAAACATGGAAGCAATGGTCCACATCCCGTCTCTGAAGAAGTAGGGCATCCTCCTACGAAACGCGTAAGACACATCAGGACTCAGATCAAGCATACAGAGCATACACCAGCAGAGGTCCGTATCTACACAGGACCATTGGCGCACTCGTAGAGCCGAGCTGTCTGCAGTGCACGTCCCCCGGAGTGAGATCCTTGTCGGGACGCACACACAGAATCACGCCGTCCTTACCGGTGGCTGGTTTTCAAGCGCAAGTCTGTCAAGGCAATCCACATCAATCCCAGCCATATTCGAAGGTCCTTGCATATTACTGACACTCATAAGACTGGTAACAACTTTATGACCTATTCCTGATCTATATTTTTAATTTTTTAATTAATAAACTGTTTTTTGTAATTTACATCCAGTGCGTACCATTGCTTTCCATTTTGGTGATACACTGTTTGTATTACTATAGCAAACAGTCTTCTATACTGTATTGCTACATTACATATACTTTTTTATCCTGATTGTATCTGTGTATTATACAAAGTATAGCATTTGGTGCAAGTATTAACTACCCTGCTTTGGATCAGGGATAGAGATATTTGCACTGCACATATTACTTGCTGCATTATATCATTCATTACTCCTAATCCTATTTTTATCTTTGTTTTTATCTGTTACAATTTTATCCTTTTTTATTAGCATTATTTTTATCCTTTTATTCCTTCCTTTTTATTCCTAATATTATATTTGTATTTGCTTATATTTTTATTCTTTTCTATTTCCATTTTTTCATTTCTTAAAGGCACAGTACATCTTATATTTTATATTTATATTGCACTTTCTATTACCATCATATTTTAGCCATAATCACAGGTCAGCTCCTGGTATTTGCACACTATTCCAGAGTGTTCTCTCTGCCATGTTAAAATACCTTGTTGTCTCTCATAATTAAAAAAAAACCAAAAAAAAACCTGGTGCAGGCTGCTGCCTTGTTCACCTTTCTCTTCACCATTCGCCTGATGTCGTAGTAACTGCAATGACATGTGTAATTGATGAATTACTTTAATATGTTTCTATATATATATATATGTTTACTGACATGTTTAAAGGAACACTATAGGCACCCAGACCACTTCAGCTTATTGGAGTGGTCTGGGTTCAGTGTCCCAGGTCCATTAACCCTGTAAAGGTAACAATTGCAACTGCAATAATTACCTCTTTGTGTTAACTCCACCTCTAGTGGATGTCTACCAGACGGACACTAGAGTGACTACTGGGTTGTTAGGCGACTTTTGGTCACCCCTCCATATCCCCCATTCCATGTGTATCACTCTATTAACCCCCCATCCTTGTGTGTCACCCCCCTTAACCCTGCATCTCCCTTATTTAACACCACATTCGCCTACACTGTGTATGTTACTACACAGTGAAAGCTGTGGTATAGAAATCTCAAAGGTGTACCACGCACATGTGCAGTACACCCATCAGATTTGTATATCAGATTGCTATATCTGATGGATGTGCTGCACACATGCGCAGTACACCCATCAGATTTTTATAGCAGAAGGATGTGCCGTGCGCATGCGCAGTACACCTGTCAGTTTTCTATATCTGATGGATGTGCCGCGCACATGTGCAGGACACCCATCATATTTCTATATCTGATGGAGATGCTGCACGCATGTCCGGTACACCCTTCAGATTAAAGGCCCAGCTGATCAAGCATCATCAGAGGTGGCACATATGCTCGTGGTGCCTCCACCAGAATTCTATACCCCGAGGCC